TCAGATTGTTCATTTTGTAATGATATCTTTAATTCTCTAATTTTGGTGAATATTTTTGGTAAAAAGTGATATTTTCAACTTCTTGTTAAAAACCCCAAGTCCAATTGCTTTGATATTACATATATACAATGTAGGTACTACATGTGGATCTCTCTCAGATTTGTTCATTTCATGATGATATCTTTAATTTTCTAATTTTGGTGAATATTTTTTGTCATTTTTGGTAAAAAGTGATATTTTCTTCTTGTTAAAAACCACAATCATTTATGGTGAAAAATGATATTTTTGAATTCTTGTTTAAAACAGCAAGTCCCATTGCATTGATACTATGCATATTGTTCATTTTCTAATATATCTTCTGTTCTTTAATTGAAATGTGCATTGCTAACAGCGGAGCTATCTCAGCCGAGAGGCTGCTTGTTAGGGTAATATGAGTACATATTAATTACCTAATTTGCATAATTAATTAATTTTCAGCTTTTGATCTGATATATCATAGACCCTGGAGGGTCTATGGATATATCAAGTAGTAATCATCATATTTCAATGAGACTTGCTACGTAGATCTTCTAAGATTATGCAGACACCTGATATTAATTGGATATTAATTACCTAATTTGCATAATTTTCCACTGATATATAAAGAACCTCAAATTGGATTTTAATGAAACTTTTAAAGGGAACTATGCAGAAACCCAATTAGTTTTTGGTAAATATTTATGCTTATTAATCACCTAATTAACATAATTAATTAACACTGATATCTCAATTACTAGTACTGATCATCACATTTGAATAAAATTTGGTACATAAATGCTCTAGGACAATAGACAGGCCTGATTAATTTTGATTAATATTAATTGTCTAATTAGCATAATAATTCATAATTTTTTTTGTTCTGTTCTGTTCATATTAGTTACCTGATTTACATAATTAGTTTTCAGCTTTTCCATCAATATCTCATGTACAAGTAATTTTGAATTAATTTTTAATGTGTCTTCAATACTCTCAGCACACAGGAGTTCTTTCTAAGCTTTCTTTGATTTGAAAATGTTGTATTTTGGGCATGCTTTGTCAGTTTTCATTCAAACTTGGTACATAGATTATACATGTTAGGATACATGTCCATGATGATTTATTTCACAATTGGATCAAAGATGGCCGACTGGCAGCCATCTTGTTTTTTGAAAATGTCGTATTTTGGACATGCTTTGTCAGTTTTCATTCAAATTTAGTATATAGATCATACATGTTAGGATACATGTCCCCGACCGTCCGTGAGTTCCTGAGTCTGTCCGTGCGACCGTCTGTGTGTCCGTCTGTCCATGCGTCAGTCTATCCAACGTCATATTTCAGAATCCTGTGAACCGATTCCGTTCATTCTTTGCATGTGCCTAGTACATTATGTGGGACAAATGCACATGCAGTGGTTTAGCGATTCGATTCAAAATGGCCGACTGGCAGCCATCTTGTTTTTTGAAAATGTTGTATTTTGGACATGCTTTGTCAGTTGTCATTCAAACTTGGTACATAGATTATACATGTTAGGATACATGTCCATGACGATTTATTTCGCAATTGGATCAAAGATGGTCGACTGGCAGGCATCTTGTTTTTTTTTTTTTTATGCGGTATCTTGGACGTGCTCTGTCAGTTTTCATTCAAATATGGCACATACATGTACTTTATACATGTTAGGATGCATGTCCATGACAATTTGTTTCAAAATCTGGTCAAGGATGGCCGATTGACAGCCATCTGACTTTTTGGCCTTACTACTATATTTCCACAATTTATGTACCATTTTCATTCGTATTTGGCACATACATCATACATATCAGTGTGTTTCATAATCAGATCAAAGATGGCTGAATAATGGCTGTTTTTATTTTGGCCATATTACTATGACACGAAACACGTGTTTTGATGTAAATAAACAATCTGTTGTATACGATGGAACTCAAGTTTCAAGGACACGCTCGTGACAACCCCTCCACTTTAATATGACAAGCACAAAGAGAACTTAACGGGGACTGTGTCATTTTCAATGACTTGTTATTTTTGGCCATATTACTACTACACGGAATACATGTTTTGATGTAAATAAACAATCTGTTGTATACGCCACTTGGAACTCAAGTTTCAAGGACACGCTCACGACAACCCCTCCGCTTTTATATGACGAGCACAAAGAGAACTTTCAAAAATTTAACGGGGACTGTGTCATTTTCAATGACTTGTTGTGATTCGATTCAATATGGCCGGACAATGCCCAATTTTAATGTAAAAGTGCTAAATCATAGTTTTTACATGTCCGGAGCTGTTTCTCTGAGATGACTAGGCCAATTTGGATCAAAGTTGGTATGATGATCATACATATTGGGTCATAATTGCATGTCATATTTTTTCTGTGATTGAAACTAATATGGCTGACTGGTGGCCATTTTGTTTTTCATGATACCCATGCCTACGTTCCCATGAATGCAATGAACATTTCTGTTTAAATTTTGTACAAAGACAGTATACCAATAGATACATCAACATGAACATTATTTTTGTAATTTGATTCAATATGACTGTCCAATGTCCAATTCTGGTGTGAAAGCACTAAATCATATTTTTTTACAAATCCATCTCCTCTTAATGGTTTCAATCTAATCTCAATGACTTCATCAGCATCAAATTGCTATGTCAGACCACAAAATTTTGGACAGGGACTGTGTCATTAACAATGACTTGTTTTGTATGGATTTGATTTAAAATGGCCATTTTGTTCTAAAAAATTCTGTTATGGTGCCATATATTGAACTTTAACCCATGCACACTACATCAGGAATTCAAGATATTTGACTGAAACAAATTAGCATTGTTATTACATAGCTGTATAAATACATAGCCTTTCATTTCGCTTCTGTTTACTATTTAATGGCAGAGACTCTGTCACTGACCAGACCTGTTACTGAGCCATAATTGTCAGTGATGATCCCATAATTATACATGTTATTATATCCCGGCATTTCTGATCAACATATGTCATGACCATATATGGTCATTTGACCTCATTAAAGATGCATAAATGTCATACATCTGTATGGAGTCATATTGAGGGTAGTGACTTTAATGCTTTATTGATGACATTAGGCTCATGATCTGATCAACATATTTAATAACTATATATGGTCATGTGACCTAATTAAAAATGCATCTACTTATCACTATTTTTATTTCTCAGCATCACATAAACAGGTTGTCTGATCTTACAAGTGCTAAAAATCAATTTTTATGGTTATCACCGGATATAAAATTAGAAGAATTACATCGATTTACCCAACAACCAGGTAAAAATGTTAACTCTTGACGTTTTGGTTAGTTTGATCACTAGAAGTTTGTGTTAGTAGTAGTATATATAGAAAACAGTAATAGGTAATTGTATTTCTTGGTAATTTTTCATTATAAAAAAAAAGTTAAAAATTTTTGTGGCAGCTTTTGTGTTCATTTCTTTGTTGTGCCTGGACTAACTGTAATCCAAGCAGGTACACGTTGATAGGTTTGGGGTTTCAGTGACCTTTTGGTAACCTAAAATTTCAATTGCAAACAAATCATTCTAATATCTGTGTTTTGTTATTAATAAATAATTAGCAGACATATTGCTGTCTGTTTTGAAGTAGCATTATTAACAGTAATTTTGATAATTACTCAAACCACAACATCTGAATGTCTGTTCTTGTTTTTTGTTAAAGGTACATGTTACAAGTATTGTCATCATCAGCTTCCACAGTTTGCTTTGAAATGTACTGTATCAATTTTTAAAACGTATAGTTTTTATTTTCATGTGAGTGTTTTGCTAATTCACTGAAATATATTATAATATATATTCCACAGAGAGTGTATTGAGATTATTGCTTGAAGAATTACAGAAACTAACAACTGTGGAATGGCAAGCTGAATATCTTGTTGCTAAGTTACAGTATTTATGCACCAAACACCAACTAATACCATTCTCTAAAATGATGGCAATGCTACGATACAGTCTGACAGGTGCCAAGGTAATATATCGACAACAAATTAGGTTGTGTTATTTGGTTTTAATGATCCTTGTTTTGTTTTTTTATCATTTAAAATGCCAAATTTGACACATTCCTTTAAATTTGGAAATTATATGTCATTGACATTGACTACTGTAAAAGTTATTGATGATTTTTTTACCCTTCTATGCACTGTTATTAAATTGTTTTGTTTTGTCTTTACAGGAGGGTCCTGGAGTGGTGGATATTATGCAAATGTTGACAAAAGAGAAAACATTGGAAAGACTTAACTCCCTAATCCTCCAAGCATGATAAGCATGTCATTTTAGCTCACTTGTTTTAGTTCTGATTTTGATATAAGTAAGAAAATAATGGTCTTAAAATATCATTATCTGTCTCAACATCTCATTATCAATGTTATTACCGATGGATCGTTAACCAGTACATATGCCTGGTATCATTTATTTCTGAAATGTAAACTATCAAATTTATAGTCGCGCCAAAATAAACAAAATTTCTACATAATCTATTTGAATGTTGTTATTTATATTTGTTCTGATGAGATCTAAAAACAGGGACTGAAAGATTCACCTCTATATGTCATTCCACAGTTTATCAACGTTTTTAAAAATCATACATGTCGGACATGATTTCGCCAGTTATATTTACAATTGAGACCTTTCCTACAGTGACAAGGAATGGTGATTGGTTTAACCAGGGAGCTGTAATGAGATCTCATTACAGCTCCCTGGTTTAACTTTATAATTGTGCAAAAGAATTCAAACATCAGATATTAGGTGGCTTCATTTGATTGCCAATTTAAATATTGTGTGTATTGGAATATGACTGAATCATGTGATCTCCAGATGATTGACAGGTTTTCAATCACTTTTATCAATCACTTTTATGGTCAATAGCTGTGATCCTGATATAGTTGATGTCATTCCTGGGCATTGTGGGAAAGGTATTTCATACCTGGAAAATACAGGCATTGTGGGAGAGGCTCTGATCAATTTGGAAACACAGGCATTGTGGGAGAATTCTTACACACCCTGGATAACACATTTTTGACTCCCGTGTGCGAAGCACAAAAAGGGAGTCTTTGCAGTTAGTGTGTCTTTCTGTGTGTCTGTTCCACTGATATCTCAAGAACCATACATTGATTTTTGATGAAACTTGGCACATGGATGCTCTGAACTTATGCACAGATTTGATTAGGTATTGGTAAAAACCCATGATTATTAATTACCTAATTTGCATGATACTTCGCTGATTTTTAGCTGTTCCATGAGTGTTCCACTGATATCTAAAGAACTAGTCATTGGATTTTGATGAAACTTGGCACATAGATGCTCCAAACTAATGCGCAGATTGATTAGTTTTGGGTAAAAATCTGTGCAATAGTAATTACCTAATTTGCATAATGATTAATCAATTTTCGACTTTTCCACTGATATCTCAAGTAGTAATCATCACATTTCAATGAAACTTGGTACATAGATGTCATAGGACACTGCACAGATCTGATAGTTTTTAGGGTAATATGAGTACATATTAATTACCTAATTTGCATAATTAATAATTTTCAGCTTTTGATATTTCAAGTAGTAATCATCACATTTCAATGAAATTTGGTACATAGATGTCATAGGACACTGCACAGACCTGATAGTTTTTAGGGTAATATCAGTAGATATTAATTACCTAATTTGCATAATTAATTAGATTTCAGCTTTTGGTATTTCAAGTAGTAATCATCACATTTCAATGACACTTGGTACATAGTTACTTAAGGACTGTGCAGACCCCTGATTAGTTTTGGGATTTATGCATATTAATTACCTTATTAGCATAATTAGTTAATTTTCAGCTTTTTGCCTGATATCTCAAGTACTAACCATCATATTTCAATGAGACTTGCTACATAGATCTTCTAGGACTATGCAGAGACCCGATTAGTTTTAATTGGATATTAATTACCTAATTTGCATAATGTTCCACTGATATATAAAGAACCATGAATTGGATTTTAATGAAACTTTTTAAAGAGAACTATGCAGAGACCCAATTAGTTTTTGGTAAATATTTATGCTTATTAATCACCTAATTAACATAATTAATTAACACTGATATCTCAATTACTGATCATCACATTTGAATAAAATTTGGTAAATAAATGCTCTAGAACAACTTTGGGTTAAAATTTGTTCAAAATAATTCTCTAATTAGCATAATAATTCATAATTTTTTTGTTCTGTTCATATTAGTTACCTGATTTACATAATTAGTTTTCAGCTTTTCAATATCTCATGTATAAGTAATTTTGAATGTGTCTTCAATACTCTCAGCACACAGGAGTTCTTTCTAAGCTTTCTTTGATACTGTTTTGTCATGGTATATGTTGGTAATCACAGCTTACTATTATGTGTTTATGATTGTAATCAGCATGCATGTTATAACTCTCTACCTTGCCACAACTACTGTGTTTACAATCACAAACACAGTAGAACAATGTATATATACCTGTTTATTTGACATTTGAATCACAGTCAGCTGGCGCACACCTGATATAAACATAGTTAAACTCTGGTGACCTTGCCTTTTGTTATATAATATAATTCCCTTTATCATAGTTTGTTTCAATATAAATATGCATTGTCATAATTAATTTTGAATACAAACAAGTTTTGGGGTTGAACCAACAGTGGGG